AATGGGCCATTCCATTTAATATCCGTACCCCCCCCCTGTCGAGGATCCCTGGAATTCTTCAGGGGTAAAGGGTTTTGAGCTTGGAATTCTTCAGGGGTAAAGTGTTTTGAGCTTGGAATTCTTCAGGGTAAAGTGTTTTGAGTTTGGAATTCTTCAGGGGTAAATGGTTTTGAGCTTGGAATTCTTCAGGGGTAAAGGGTTTTGAGCTTGGAATTCTTCAGGGGTGAAGAGGTTTGAGATTGAAATTTTTCAGAGCTTGGAATTCTTCAGGGGTGAAGGGTTTTGAGCTTGGAATTCTTCAGGGGCAAAAGGTTTTGAGCTTGAAATTCTTCAGGGGTAAAGGGTTTTGAGCCTGGAATTCTTTAGGGGTGAAGGGTTTTGAGCTTGGAATTCTTCAGGGGTAAAAGGTTTTGAGCTTGGAATTCTTCAGGGGTAAAGGGTTTTGAGCTTGGAATTTTGGAATTCTTCAGGGGTAAAAGGTTTTGAGCTTGGAATTCTTCAGGGGTAAAGAGTTTTTAGCTTGGAATTTTGGAATTCTTCAGGGGTAAACAGTTTTGAGCTTGGAATTCTTCAGGGGTATGACAATGAAAAACATGTATCCTCGACAGGGGGGGTACGGATATTAAATGGAATAGCCCAATTTAATTGTTTACAACATGGCAACAACATTACAAATCTTATGTAAGCTCATCCAATTTTTGTTGTAGAGACTCTGTTTGCTGATCTTTCGAAAGAAAATCTTCTAAGGATTTCAAAAATATATAATGTGTCTGGTGTTAAGATAGAAAATAATTTTTAAATGAAGAAAAGTGAATGGACTATGCACGTCAGTCGAGACATATTAAAAATTTAGTCTAGAATGTGGCCATCAAATTTCGTCGGTAAATTTGGTGAAAACTTGCTCAAACCTTTACATACTGTATATAATCTGTATCGCTATACAACCGGGAGTTCAAATATGTTTGAATGAGGTATATTGGTTGAGTATTTTAAAAATTATCCAAAGTTTTGTGCTGAGGATTTCAAAATATTTTAATACATAAACAATTAAATTGTAGTCTAGCGGCTGCCAAATTGACTCGTAGCTTCTAAATTTCTGATCGTATAAATTTGATTCAAACATTTTCCGATAGCTTATTTCTCGCGAATTAAAAATATATAACATTTACCTTGTCTTGGAGCAGCAAGTATAGGAAATTTTGAAGAATAAAACAATTTCGCGCATTGAAATTAAGTGGTCTTAATTAATTCACACCCCAAATTTTGGGGTGTAAAGTGTCAGCCGATGCCAGGGCCTTCTCCAGCACGAAGTCAGCTCAAAGGCCCTGGGGACGAGGTTGGTCAATCCCAGTTCCCATTTTACCCCTTCAGGGCCATCTATAGTAAATGTGCATGTTTAAACGCGCTTTATTACCCTCTATTAAGTCGGTTTTCCACTAGCGAATTTTTCTGCGCGAAGCGACCTTTTTCCTTTGTCGGCATCCATTTTGCAGCCCTCGAAAAGTCAAAACCGTCAAAATTGAGGTCGGCGAGGGAGGGCCGACCTAAATTTGACCTAGGTCGGCACATCTCGGCATTTCTTAAAATCTGTTATCTGTTCCATGCACGTCTTGGAGCAATATTAATTAATCACGCATTTACGAATCATTGAAATCGGAATATAACTGGAACGTTACCTCCAGCCGGAAAATTCGAAAGTTGGAGCCAAATTTTAACTCCAGACGCGCGAAATTTGATCTTCAAACATCTAACGTATAAGTATATACGCAATACCCGTCAGTTTGTAAACCTTACACCGTAGTGTGTTCAGTTAATCGAATTCGCTGACATTTTAAAAGCTATCAGCATAAAAATTCTTACTTTGGTTGAATTAAGGTGGGCAAAAATTTGCATTTAAGGTGGCTCCCTACAGTTATTCTTGTTTAAGCAATAATTCCGTAAAACAGGCTTATTCGTGCAGAACGCGAATTCTTTTCGACTTGGTGGTAATATTGGTCACCTAAGGAATATTTCGAACTAGATTTCGACGATGTCAATGTTCCCATGGCAACATGACGACAGCATAAAGCCTTCCAATTTAACCCATAAATGTGCCGCTATCTCAAAAACGATGTCGGTGACCTATCTTTTTTATTTCATATATCAATAAGGAATGATGCTCTGCAACTGTGGTGAAAGTTTAAAAAAATTCTGTAGTGTGTGATTTTTTTAAAAGCGAAAAATTTATTGCGAAATTTCCACACTACAGATTTTTTTAAAATTTGAAATTTATAAAATTTACCGCAAAATAAATTCGTGGTCAAAATTTGAAGATAGGTCACCGATGAAACTAATGAGTAAAATGCAAATAAAGTTAGAAAATAGCCTCGTGTAACTCGAGAAATTCCCCTATTGAAAAGCGTCGCTGACTAGTAAAAGATTGTACGCGGGCGCAGAACGAGTTTTCATTCAGCAAAATCGAGCCGCAATGTCGTTTTTACTGTTTTGTTTTTGTCAACTTTTCGATTTATTTGAGTGCTACGGACAGCCAAGGATTATTGTGAAGGATTAAATCGATGAAAACAAGGTTGAAGCTAATTGAATCCTGCCGTTTACTCAATCTATGAGCTGTAACAGCCTATTAACAGGTGGACGTGTTTTTTTGTTTCATGTTTGGTTTTGTACTTTTTGCTAAAAATGAACAATTAGGCTATGAAACTGAAATATTTTTCTGTTTACATATAATCACTTTAATCTTGTAGAAACACGACTAAAAACGTGAACGTTTTCTTGAGAAGTAAACAACTTTTTAAACGTTTGTATGCAATTTTGCAAATGTTTTACAGTTGACAATGTATATTTTAAAAACATTAAAAAACATTGTTTCGTAGCTATTTTTGGTCTAGTGGTATTCGTATCATATGTAGAATTGCTGTATAGACCCGCAAGTAATTTTGCACTCAAAACGAAGTATTATTCAACGCTTTTTCCCATTAGAAACCTTTCAGAAATAGCTTTTTTTAAAAAAAAATATTTTGTTTTGTTTTGATTATGCGGTTGCGTGGGATAGTTCACGTACTGGTCCCGCGAACATCCCGCACGCAACTGTAGGGAGCCTCCTTAACCCGGCATTGCCGAATGCCAACCTCGTTTTCGAGGACTGATTTTGCCACGTCTTGCTGACGTAATAAGTGATACCGACAAAGGAAAAAGGTCGCTTCGTGCGAGAAAATTCGCTAGTGGAAAACCGACTTTATTGCCTCTTTTATAGAACAGTATAATAAGCAACAACAACAACAACAACAACAACAACAACAACAACAACAACAACAACAACAACAACAACCACCACCACCACCACCACCACCAAACAAATTTAATTACCTAATTATGATTTCAATAATATTATGTTTTTGGACTAGCTGCCTGAAGTGAAGATACTGTATACGAAAAAAGTTGCATTGCTGCATGTGTGGTTTCTTTCATGCTGTTCGTGATATTCGGTTTGAATTCAATTATTCAGGAGGTCAATTTTGGTTTCTTCAGTGGTTATCTTTAGCCAATCCAGTTTTGCCGACTGAGATAACAATTTGCCGATTAGCTGACGAGTGGGGGGGTGTTCCACCCCCCCACACCCCCCTGTAGCGCCGCCCCTGCATCCGTCCGTCCGTATCAGCGTTTTACCTTTACCTGTTTTTTAATAGATAGATAGGTTTATTAAAAATTACATCGCAGCCATCAAACGAATGGCTGAATTACGTAATTTACACATTTAATTATTCTATGTAATAACATATCAATAAGAATTATGGTATTTATCGCTTCCTTTAAATTTAATCCATGCTAATATATTCTGTCAGTTTCTTGTCATGATGAGCTCTGTTTTCTGTGCGCTTTTGCGAATAAACCAAACGGACACCAATTGGAATAATTATGGCAGTGTGCGTTAGCACATGCCAGTTTATTAATTTTTATACTGAATAACATAATTATTAATATAACAAATTATTAAGGAAACTAATGTTCGTAAAAGTAATTATTAAGAAAATTGTTCGCACAGAAAAGGTGGGGGTAATTCAAACGCCCACCACTAAGAACTAGTATACATGTCAAAAGGAATTGCGCCAGAAAACGGGGAGGAGGGTGGGTAAACTTGATTTCAGATGAATATGTTTTGCAGGCAACGTGCAGAGCAGAATGAACCGATCCCGCATTCTAGTTCAAATAAATACCGCAAACTCCTATCCATTTTCCTGCGCATTACAATCATGTGGTCACAAAATTTCCGGGAAAACCCCAGTAGGTTTCTATCTATTTATATAGTTCATTCGTCAGGGACTCGGAAAAGACAAAAAAACTGGGAAAATGCTTTAGCTTCTTTAGAATGCAATCTTTTAGATGGTCACGCTAAGAAAGAACTGCGTAGTAATTTTTATAGGTTGGATGGAAACTGCATACGACTTAAAAAGTGGTAGCGATGTTGATGATGATAATAATGATGACGACGAGAGTGGTGATAATTGGGAAAACGCTTATATGGTGAAAGTGGTAGAGCTGTACTCGGTGAAAGTGATTGATATTGATGGTACTGATAATATTGATGGTACTGATGATATTGATGGTATTGGTAAAAATGATGGCGCTGTTAATGATTGGAGCAGCAGTTCAGATGATATTGACCCTTATTGGAAATCATCTACATGCACACCATACTTTGGCGGGCCAATATGTGAATGACTAATGTGATATTGTGATGATGAATCTACTGTATTTTGAATGTACGCCAACTTCTTCAGTGAAGATCAGTGTATTTTATTAGCCTATGAATGTGTACATTTTGCTATGGTTTACTTTAATGGTGTTTTCAACAGTAATACAAATGCAAAATTGAAAAATGCAAAATTTGAAAATATCTGCAAAATTAACAAGTTGGAATAGAGACATATGCTTACAAACGTAAATATATTTTAATAAGCTAGACTGGTAATTTATCTAAGACTCTTGATTTTGCGGTTGTTGAAACTAGTATTAAAAGTTAACTGAAATAAACCACGACTGTTTTAGTAACAACATTTACTATAAGTGTAATATAATATAATCTAGGTTCAAAGAAATTTGACCTTTCCTAAGCGCAAAAATTTTTAGCCCACCCCAAATTGAAGCTCAAAACATTTCAGCCCTCCCCTCAAATTTACTGGCCCTCTCCACGCTCCCCAATAATTAATGACTGTTCCCTAACTTCAAAATTTTTGGGTCAACAGATTTTTTTTAAATTGTCAAAATAATTCAATATGCTAAGAGAAATTATTTTACGAAACGAAATGTGGGATCACCGATATAAAAATTGTTGTTGAATGAAATTACTTTAATCCGCCATATTAAAACGCAGGGACGCCGGAACGATAAAAAGGCAAAGGGGAGCAGACGCATACCAAAGGTTACCTCTATAGATCAAAAGTCCGAAATTTACCTGAAAATTTTTTTTTACATGAAATTTTTTCTGGGCGACCAAAAATTTCGGTCAGTGTACCATATTAGGGGTCAAAAATTTTTTCCGGACATACCAAAATTTTTCGTGACGTAAAAAGATTTTTCCGGACATCACCAATTTTCTCCATTTATCCAAATTTTTTTTCTAAAATCCAAAAATTTTCTAAAATTTTTG